GATTATGCAGCCACACAATATGGTATATTTGGTACTTAATTATCATCATCCACTGAGCAGGCTGCTGTGGTAGAACAAACAGAGCCGCGCTGTGTGGGCTGTGTTGTTGTCTTTCGACGGTTTTGCCACTTCTGTTAATAATGGACTGCGGATCTATTTAACAAAATGACTGCGGCGTTTTATAAGCCTTTCGATTGCCAGCTTACAGTGTCAAAAACATCTGTTCAGCTTCTCCACTGTACGCACGGGAGGTTAAATAGAGGTGACTGAAGCTGTCCTCTGGGCTCAGGGGACAAGAGCGGCAAGCACAACGCAGTCCTAAGCTAGCGGACAGGTAATGGGCAAGGGAAAGCAGGATGCTGCAGCCGTTGACTTTCCACATCTCCTTCAGAACTTCAAGTTTTGTGCAGCTCAATTAGGACATTTCCTGAATGGATTTATATTTTATTCATCATATCAAGACATTATTTTGGGGAACTTCCAGAAATAACCTACTGGGCATGTCATATAACCTTACATTGACTTCTTACCTCTGACCTGTCTAATCTCTTGGGTGTACTGTGAGAATGATTCTAATTCAAAGGGGGGGGAGGACTTCATCTTAAATATACATAAAAGCCAGTCCCCTCAAAATGAATATGCCATGTTTCATATAATAAAATTTTCATGAAGAAATAGATATGATGAGATGTCAATTTGTTTGAGTTTAGTAGCTACAGTTTTTGTCCCTATCTATAAATGCAACAAAGAAAAAGAAATGATATATCAACAGTTAACTGATAAAAATTGGACTTGGAATTTATATTCTTATTGCATTTATCAAAGAAATGTACTGAATACCATTTTGAAAAACAGTTCCACTTTATGACATTTAGTTGCATTAAATATTTAGTTCTGTTGTGTTGCATTATACTGCTGTGCGATGAAATTAAATGCAAACTACAATTTGAATGTCTGCAAACATTGGCAAGAATCTGCAGCTAAATTTAGATATAAGATTTGCAGTGTCTGTTGTTTTTTTTTTTCTTTTCATCTTTACCCATCAAAGTATAAGAATGTTCAGGAGCTTGACCCGCTTTCTTTCCCCCCGTCTTTAGGTTTGCAGAGCGTGCCCGGGGAGTACGTTTCTCAGGGCGGTCCCATGGGAATGAGTATGGCACAGCCAAGCTACACTCCTCCCCAGATGAGCCCGCACCCTACTCAGTTAAGACACGGACCCCCAATGCACGCGTATTTGCCAAGCCACCCCCACTACCCCGCCATGATGATGCACGGAGGACCCCCCGCCCACCCTGGAATGACCGTGTCCGCACACAGCCCCACAGGGCTAAATTCTGTAGAGCCCAGTGTTGGTGGGCAGGGCGTGGATGTCCATGCCCAGTAGTGGAAGGGAACTCAAGGGAAAAGGAAACACACGCAAAAACGATTTTAAGACTTTCTGAACTTTGACCAGATGTTGACACTTAACATGAAATTCCAGACAGCTGTGATTCTTTTTTACTTTTGTCATTTTTCATCAAGCAACAGAGGACCAACACGACAAGAACACAAATGTGAACGAAACCATGGGCTCCCTGAGACAATGCTGTCCATGGAAAGATCCTCTGGAAGAAGACTCTGAGAGTTACAACTACTGTAGTATAAACGTAGGAACTAAGTTAAACTTGTACATTTCTGTTGATCACTCCGTTACGTTGCCTCAAATAGTTTTAGAAGAGAAAAAAAAATATATCCTTGTTTTCCACACTATGTGTGTTGTTCCCAAAAGAATGACTGCTTTTGTTCGTCAGTGAATTCACTACCCAGGAGAGACTGTGGTGTATTTGAAAGCTGTTGGGTCATGCTGGAGGCATGACGGGCACGGGGGGACCTCGTCACCCCAACTCCAGCTTCAAGAATGTGTTTTCATGCCCAGCCTTCATTCCTCCATAAACCTGTCCTTTAGTTTCAGACAGATCTTTATATAGTTTGCGCTTCATAAGCCAATTCCTGTTATGATTTCGGGGGACTCTTCTCTGAAGAGCTTACCAGTGAAGATGCACACCAAGCGGGGCTCCTTCAGGGCCTAGCCCAGCCGTGGACAGAAAAACCAGAAGATGGGTAGCTTTCCTCCACACACCCAGAAGCTAGGAAGCAGGACCTCCTCAGACACTCAACCCTCGGGGATACAGAGGAGTGCGCGTGCGCGAGACTGTAACAAACTCCCTACAGAGTTCGGTCTATTCATTGTTCCATGTTAGATATTCTATGTGTTTACCTCAATTGAAGAAAAAAAAAGAATGTTTTGCTAGTATCAGATCTGCTGTGGAATTGGTATTGTATGTCCATGAAATCTTCTTTTCTCAGCACGTGTTCCTCACTAGAAGAAAATGCTGTTACCTTTAAGCTTTGTCAAATTTACATTAAAATACTTGTATGAGGACTGTGACGTTATGTTAAAAAAAAGGTGTTAAGTCACAAGATGCGGTAATAAATATTTCATTTTTGATTTTTTGTTGGGCTTCGGTGTTTTCTCTGATTTTAAGTGACAGTTTGGAAAGCAGGGGAGTACCCGCTCGGAGGTGGGATGGAGGCGAAGTTCAACTCACCGGCCAGGAGTCCTGGAGCTTAGCGCCCACAGCAGCCCGGCCGTCCTGGAGCTTAGCGCCCGCAGCTCTTCCATACGCATTTGGCCCCTAAGTCCCCTGAACAGAAAGCCCAGCTGGGCGCGAGTTGTGCGGACGTGGCCGTGATGAGCCGCGAAGGAGGTGCACCTTCCTGGGCCCCGGTGCCGGGAGGCCAGGACAGTGCTGCCGGGCGCGCGCCGAGCCACGTCACACCCAACATCTCACTCAGGGGTCCGGAAGATGGAGACTGGTGAGGGCGGGTCATTAGCCTCAGCTAGAGACGGGGCCTCCCCTCCGTCACCAACCTTTCTGGCGGTGCTGCGGCCTTGGCCTTGTGAAGGCCGGGCTGCCCGCTCCATCCGGGCCTCCGGAGCCCCGTGCGCGCTCCTCAGGGCCTCCGGAGCCCCGTGCGCGCTCCTCAGGGCCTCCGGAGCCCCGTGCGCGCGCTCCTCAGGGCC